TTCCATAACCGATAAGAAAGTAATTTGTAAAATATTTATCAGCCACTCGTATCTTACAAATATCTCTGAAAATTTACTCGACTTTTATCTCGAAACTCTTCTAGTGACAAATGAATTTGGCAGAAATTCGTAGAAAACGATTTTGAAGCTAGTTCTTTCCTATCCTAGACTCGAAGAAACGAGATTTCTGCCTATGTTTAAATAACGTTTGAATAAGAAGGCCGAAAAAGTTTTTCGGTTAGATCCACTGCTCGAAACAAGATTTACAACGAGAATAACCACCCCCCTTTCTTGTTCACCAATACAGTCGAAGCAATAATAAAGTGAAATGTCGACGAGAGTGCGGGAAGCAAGAAGTTCCTGCACCCTGGATATTCAATTTCAATCGGATTCCTCGAGTACTTCATCCTTAGAATCCGTTACAAAAGTTCGGTTCGCGATATGGACCGGTGAACCGAACAAATTTCGACCACTTTCAGCCCGAAGAAGTCGTGTTTTAAAAGTACACGGGGTATAAGTGAAACTTGTATCCCTATTCCTTTCGAAAAGTCGTTAACTTTCCATAAAATCCATCCTCGATACCCTTTTACTTTTATCTATTCCAACTTCTATATCATGATTCCATCCTCCGTTCATCGAGAAATGACGTTTGAGTATTGATCCACAATTGTTGTAAAAATAATAAAAGGAACAACGATAGCGATTAATTATATGTATAAAGATATCTTTCATAATATTATTATCTGGTATATGAAAGACACGATGAACGAATAATCGTGGGAGGAGAGGTGAAAGAATTAACGATAATAACAATTAATTAATACATTCTCGATAATTAAATGGAGAAATGGTAATGAGAAGCGCAACATTACACTTTGATGGATATACACATAATTTCTAGTAGGAAATAATTGATTGAGAATCGATTAATAAGCATGTTAATATGAAATCAAATCCTGTAATATTTCTGAAAAATCGAGATGGATGATTTGATTGGTGAACAACGTTGAATTGAAATTATAAATACACTATAATGTTCGGTCGATAAAATGATCGATGTGTTCGAAAAGATTAATGATTTGCGATTAACGATTTCAAAGTTTTCCCGTTTTATTAATAACCTTTTTCCTTTTCCATCAAATTCTTAGCTTATTTTGCATATGTCGACACAACGACAACCATTCTAACCTATATCTTTTTCGAAGCACGAAAGCTAGGTAATCGTATAAAGAGCGCACCATCGACAATCAAATTCATTTTTCAATGCACTCAATCGAAAAATGTTTCGCGACATTGTCATATATTCAACCACTGGAACACATAAAAGGACCGAAAACTGGGGCAATTACGCTTCCATCAGCATGAAAATTATTGCGAAAACAAACTTTCGCTCTTCGAACACTCGAAAATGGAAAAAAGTTATTAAGTTAGACTACCGACCAATTACGAGAGAAAAAAATTGAAAATTGTAAGTGAAACTATCGTTATATCGTTAACTTTTTTTAAAACTATACAATGTTCGTTCAAATTTTCGAATTTTGAAACGAATACATATGCTTCATACGTGACGATAACGACCTAAACAGTCTAACTATACAATCTATTGACAGAGGCATAACATGGGACGATCCAATTGGAGTGTAATTGTTTCAGGTTACAAACCTCCGGTAACAAATCCACAAATCTACCGCAGAATAGCATACCGTGTATTTCCGGCATTTGCTTGTGTTTCACCTAATAATATTATTCGTTATGAATAGTCTCTTTTCTCTGAAGTTGGTTACTTTCGATTTTCTCGTACAAATCGAGACTTTGTTACGAGCAAAAACTACTGTTACATAAAGCTTCTGTATAACAGAACGAAAAAAAAAAACTATATTTTGTTTGTGGTTGAAAAAGATTAAAAAAATTGCCAATCATAAAAGAAAATAACGATTTTTCAATCGCATAATCTCCATTAAACATGATTATTGTACGAAGTAATTCGATATTACGCAGCAAATGTATTATGGGAAACAAGACGCAATAGAAAAAGAAAAACAAGAAAACAAAACGAGAAACGCAGAATGTATATATACGTTCGAAAACAAATGCCCCACCCGACGAAAATTCTTGGAAAACTAAATCGAACGAGTTGGATGTCAACAACCCATATAGAAAACAATTCGAAACGCGTATTATGTACGTATATGTATGTGTATTATACGCCATTGTATATTCTATAGCATCATTCGCGATATATTTTTACGACGCAATTTTTCGAACGCAAGTAAAAATCAGTCAAATATAATCATGCTATGATAATTATTACGTTTATTAAGATTAATAAACGTATTATGATATCACTTAAAAAGTCTTACCTTATTCGCGATGCTTGATGTTTATTCGGCTTGTCACTCTTTCCCTCCCTCCGAGAAGGATGAACAGTGTCAGTCGGGAAGAACGACGAGAACACAACTCACATATCACTCACAGACATCGCGAGAATAACTCGTGCTCAAAATTCGTAAAGAATAACCGTAAATACAATTGTTTTCGCCGAAGAACGAACGAGGTACGGGGGGACACGTAATGGCGCGAGCGTCTACCGCAATTTCACGCAAGTTTTCGACGTGCGACAACGAAAGGTGGAGAGAGAGAGACAGTGTAAGATAAAAAGGAACGACGCACTGCCACAGCACTGCGTACGAATTTGGTCGGATCACGAGAACGAAAAGGGGAAGGAGGTTCTCACGTTTCACGACACGATTCACGCACGGGTCACCGACAGCATCGACACGATGCTTTTAGCTCGAGGGTTGTCGCGGTACTGCGAGCAGCGCGCCACTCGGCGTCCCGACCGTGCGCCGCGTAGCTGCTCATTTACTGTCCGCCGCTCCTATTGGTCGATGCGTTCGCGCCGTACTCCGTCATTGGTCTATTCAAAGCGACGCACGCACCGTGGTCACAGTTGAAACTTAACACGACAAAAAGCATGCAGATAAATAATACACTACTATTTTTATTTTTAATAAAAAGCACAATGGCTGCATTAACGATTTATATCATTGCATAAAAGATGCCTGTTTTTCTTTGCTCGGTTTATGAGGACAAACGTGTACAGAGAGAATACGAATAGAGTATGCAGAATGAAATTGCAGCTCTGTCTGCGGTAATTGTAAATGTTTCTATAACGACGCGCCAGTACATTTGAGAGTGTAATTTTCTCGACACAATTATAATACTAGTTGCCATCCAACCCATAATTAACGCTGTTGTGTTGTTTTCTATTTTCAATTCAAGCATACATTGTTTAATTTACTACTTTACACTAGTCGTAATTTAACAAACTCTAAATATAATAAAATTAATGTTACATTAATTATTTAATTAATATTTTTTCTTCTTTTTTTCTAACTAATTTATTATAATTTAACTTTCAACACATAAAAATTATTATTCATTATTGTTAAATTATTGTAGTTTTGTGTTAATTTTGTTTTGTAACTTTTAGTATGAAATAAAATTAGTGTAGTTGTAAAAGATATTCTGTTTATAGGTATATTCTCATTTAAGAATAAACCACAAATTCAATTCAAGTGGAAGAAAAACGGAACAGAAATTGACACGGACAGAAAAAGAAGAGTGTTAAATTAACGAAGGTTTCGTTTCTTCTGCTCGACTTGACAGAAATTATGGGATAACGTAAAGCAGTGTTGTTTAACGAAATACCGGTTTGTTTCGAACGTTTTTCACAAAACCACTTAACTGAAATTACCTGATTTGACATAGATGAGTGGCAAGAAGTTAAGAGAAACGAGGTTAAGGCGAGAACGACACAGCTCACGTAATCTTGATTTGCGAGGGTTTCGTGATAGCAATCGATGATAAGGTTTCATTCTAACGATCGAGTCATTCCGGGAATCAATTTACTGTTTTATAACTGATCGCAAAACTACTTCTTATACTTCCACGTAATAAAAAATTAAATATGCAAATAATATATACAGGGAATGAAAATAAAAATAGATTCTTTTACAAAAGAAACATCAATATCGTGAAAATATTTTCGCAAAACTTCGCGATATTTGTTCCGCTTTCTTCGATTTTATCCATTTGTGTTGTTTGGATGGAAAGAAAATTTATATTATGAAGTTAACGCTTGCCATCCCTCTTTACTACGAAAAGAGGGAAAAAGGGGGAAAAAACCGACGAACGATTCACGCGACTTTAGACCGTGAAGATACACTTGCCCAGTTGGAAGAGAAACTTTCATTCTCGCGATACTTTTCTTTTCCCTTGTATCAATTCTCTTTTTTTCTTTTCCCTCTTTCTCTCTCTCTCTCT